GACTGGTGGTTCTCGCAGCTCCCCGGCTCGTAAGAGGGCTGAGCTTGTCGATCAGAAAATGTCGGCAGTTTGGCGGTTCGAATCCCTAGCGCCGCATAACGAAGTGAGCTCCTGTTACCTCTCCCAGCTTCTGCTGTCAACCTAGCAGTTTGAAAGCAGGTAAAAAAAGCAACTAGAAAAATAGGAACCACCTTTGGTGGGAAGGGGACAGCGTTCCGTGCGCCTTCGGTGTTGAGTCATGCCGGCCACATGACCACGGAGACGTCTTCGGACAGCGCTGGCTCTTCGGCTTTGAAACGGAGGTGAGCAGGGCCCCCTAGAGTCAGGAACAACTAGCATAGATGTGCAAGGGGAATCTTTACCTTTAAAAATTAAAGCACAGATCACGCACAGTCACCAGCTCTTGACTTCTGGCTGTTCGTTCAGCAAACCGTTCAAAGTTACAACGCTGCTGAAAAAGCGACGGCCAGTCCTCGCCTTTACGACCGTCGCCTCATCTCCCTACGAAAACTCAAATGCCGGACAACTTGGCCTGCATTTACGACGGCTGCAACATTTGTGCGACCTTCTCACCCGGCTTTTGACGAGGGGGGGGGGGGGAGCTGGATTTGATTTACGGCCGCGAAGGATCGCTTAACGGCCAAGATTGTAAAACGGAGTGGGGAGGTGACACACTGGCTTGCTTAATTGACCGCATCGCTTAGCGGCGGATGTTCCGATCCCAATTGGTCGTAAGTCGAGAAGTGCTTGCATCTGAGCTCTTTTCAAAGTCCCCTGCACTACCCCTGCAGGGGTTCGCGCCGCGTGCGAAGCGATCACACTGCGGTTTAACAGAGAGACCAGGATAAAGCAAACCAGGGTTTAAACAGGGTAGTTTTGTCACGTGGCTGGGTTAAAAACAATCCACTTGAGAACTGAGAAGTTGGGGAAATAGTAAGCTGGGAGGAAGGTCTCCACCGTTCGCTCTCACCTGGGTTCTCATGGGACGGGCTGTTCAGGTCCTTGGCCCCGCCGACACTCGGCTTCAGATCCGTGGGATCCTTTTCGTTGGTGGAGAAAGTTTCATCTTGAAATTCGGAAATATGGAACATGGTCAGGGGGCTGGCATCGCCCCTGCCTCGTGACCCCGTGTTTTCCAGAAGGCTAAGAGGTAGTGGGCTGCCTGTGCGGGGAAGAGAGCGAGGGAAGGAAAGAAGAAGGGGAGGAAGGCAAATCGGAGAAGGGGAGGGAGGAAGGAAAAGGAGAGGAATAGGGAGGGAGGGAAAGACGAAAGGGAAGGGGGAGGGAAGGAAGGGAAATTGGAGAAGGGAAGGGAGGAAGGAAAAGGAGAGGAATAGGGAGGGGGGGAAAGGAAAGTGAATTAGATGGGAAGAGGGGGAGGAAAATTGGAGGAGGAGGAAAGAAAAGGAGAGAAATAGAGATGAAAGGAAGAGAAGGGAAGGGAGAAGGAAAGAAAAAGAGAAATAGGGAGGGAAGGAAGGAAAATTGGAGGAAGGGAGGAAAGAAAAGGATAGAAAGAGGGAGGGAGGGAAAAGAAAGGGAAGGGGGAGGGAAGGAAGGAAGGAAAATTGGAGGAAGGGAGGAAAGAATAGAAATAGGGAGGAAAAGAAGAAAGGGAAGAGGGAGGGAAGGAAGGAAAATTGGAGAAGGAAGGGAGGAAAGAAAAGGATAGAAAGAGGGAGGGAGGAAAAGAAGAAAGGGAAGGGGGGAGGGAAGGAAGGAAAATTGGAGAAGGGAAGGGAGGAAGGAAAAAGAGGAATAGGGAGGGGGAAGGAAAGTGAATTAGACGGGAAGGGCAAGTGGAGGGAGGGAGGAAAATTGGAGGAGGAGGAAAGAAGGAGAGACATAGTGAGGAAAGGAAGGAAGAAGGGAAGGGAGAAGGAAAGAAATAGGGAGGGAGGGAAAGAAGGGAAGGGGGAGGGAAGGAAGGAGAATTGGAGAAGGGAAGGGAGGAAGGAAAAGGAGAGGAATAGGGAGAGGGAAAGAAGGAAGGTGAATTAGAGGGGAAGGGAAGGAGGAGGGAGGGAGGAAAATTGGAGGAGGAGGAAAGAAGGAGAGACATAGTGAGGAAAGGAAGGAAGAAGGGAAGGGAGAAGGAAAGAAATAGGGAGGGAGGGAAAGAAGGGAAGGGGGAGGGAAGGAAGGAGAATTGGAGAAGGGAAGGGAGGAAGGAAAAGGAGAGGAATAGGGAGAGGGAAAGAAGGAAGGTGAATTAGAGGGGAAGGGAAGGAGGAGGGAGGGAGGAAAATGGAGAAGGAAGGAGGGAGGAAAGAAAAAGAGAGAAATAGGGAAGAAAAGGAAGGTGGATTTGAGGAAAAGGGGAAAAAAGGGAAAGGGAAGGAAGAATGGAGAAAGGGAGAGAAAAAAAGGAGGAAGGAAAAGGAGAGAAATTTATATTTCATATTTACATGTGTAGGTGTATAATAAATTAATTAAATATATCTATTATGCCACCGTCTCACTATCCAAACTGACTCCAGCGATCAAAAGCCAACTAAATTCCACCGTTGAGCAATTTCAACCAAACTTGGTACACAGTTGACTTACTCTCTGGAGACAAATACTCTGGGAGTAAGACACCCCTAACCCCCCTCAGGGTGTGTTTTCTGTTAAGATACAGCCTGTTGTGCCTTCAAATGGCTT